TTTGGCCAACTCAGCCTGTCATACAGGCGGGGCTGGCACAGCATGTGGTGCCAGGGATCGAACACCAGTCCCAGCACATTGCCTAAGCCTGCCTAAGCAGGCACTTTAGACTGCTGAGCAGTTCACTCTAAGGAGTTATTAACACAGATTAAACAGACTGATGGACATACACATATAAAACAATTTAAATCGGAGTGGGCTTTAAGATGTTTTGGCCAAGTTGCACTGCAATAACTCTTTTTGTTTAGGTTTGTAATTAAAACCAGACTAGGCCGAACTGTTTCTATAGGTCATCAATTAACAGAGATCTCTTATAAAAAATGAATGGCAAGAAGAATCACAAAAGCAAAGAGAAAAAAAAACATCCCAACTACAGTGAAGGGGTTATGCGAAATACTTGACTGTAAGTTTTCCATCACACCCCTAATAGTTGTACTTACTGAAGAAGGCAGTTCAGGACTGGAAAGAGCAGAAATAATAGCTCCAAAATTGAAATTAATATCTACTCCCTCCTTGAGGGTTGGCCACTGTGCAGATGTTTTCCTCTGATGTCATTTTCCTTCTCCTTGCCCTCCTCTCAGTTATAAAAGACTTCTGTGGCTAGTTTGACCAGTGATTCCTGTTTTGCTTTGTTTTGTTTTGTTTTGTTTTGAAGACAGTCCTGGGCCATGAGATAGCTCAGTGGTCTAAAGCTCCTGCTTAGGCAAGCATAGGCAAAGCTCAAAAACCGTGGTTCAATCCCCAACACCACATGCTATGCCAGCCCTGCCCCCAGGGTGGGTGGAGCCAGCCACCAAAAAATAAATAAATAAATAAATAAATAGGGGGAAAAAAAGAAGACAGAGTCTTGCTTTGTAGTTCAGGCTAGCTTTGAATTCACAGCACAATCCTCCTTCTTCAACCTGTTCAGTGCTGGGATTATAGGCATGCACCACCACCCTGACTTGTCAAGAGATTCTAAAGAACTACCAGAACCAAATGTCTTCTTTTGCAGTTTTTCTCCTCATATCTGGGAGAGATTGAGTTAGAAATTTACACTTAAGAATTATCTGGGTTTTTTGGGGGGAGGGTTTTGGTTGTTTTGGTTTTTTACAGCATCTGGAGATAGAAGGATAAGTTTAGCTAACCTGGAATTATCTGTTTATCCTTCCATGATACAGGTCTAGAAATGTATGTGTTTTCCATCCTTATTATCTCTCTCTCACTTTTTTTTTGGGGGGGTGCCAGGGATCAAACTCAGGACCTTGCTTTTGCCAGGCAGGTGTTTATGCCACTGAGCTATCTCCCTAGCCCTGCTCTCATTATTATCAGAGTCCAGTTAGGTTTTTTCTTAAATCAGCTTAACTCCCTGTGGGAAATGGACTTTCCTCTGGCTGTAGTTTCTCAGGCCTTCTATAGTTAATATTATGTAATTCATCTCCAAAGACCTCTGCTTGGAGGTCTGTTTAGACCACTTATTTTTCATTAGGGGTTGATTGACTTAAAAGGAGAGGATCTTTTCATGATACATCAGAAGATTGTATTAAACTTTGGAATTCTCTGTCTGCCTTTCAGGATCATTAGAACCTTCCTAAATTCTGTTTGGTGTGCCTTAAATCTGTCAAGGAAAAGGGAGTATGGACTGGAGAACACATTCTTCCCTGCTTATCTCCTGGAATGGCTGTAGTCCCCTTGTGGAAGCTTCTTTTATCCTGGGCAGCAGCTTAGGTTCTGAGGGTGAGCTAAGATTAAGATGTCTTAGATGGAGCTGCCAAGTCTCAGCAAGGTCTTGTGGACTCATAAGTGACCTAGGCTTTAGCCTGCATTGTTGAAGTAGCTTGGGATTGTCTCTAAAAGCAAATAATACTTGAACATAAGGAACTTATGGCCATTTTCCCTCTCTCTTATAAAACTAATCTAGTGGGTTCCAGTGAGTTCCAAAATCACATGAGAAACCATGGAATTCATGTTTGCCGCTCTGAAAATCAAGTAGAAGAGGGTGTCCCTTTCACTTACCTGTTTCATCCTTAGCATGGGGTTGTCCTCCAGCTCTGATCCGATCCCAGCAAGGCTAGTTACAGCTGCTGGAGTTGGCCAAAAGAACTGCCAGAGACAAAACATCACTCTTGCTGGTGACATTGTATGAGCTTTACTCTTTGACTTTGTGTTAGCTGCATAACAGAAATGTAACTTCCAGCTCTCCTTTAGCATTTGTCAGTCTGACAACATGTTCTAGAGAGGAGTCATTAAAAAAAATAAAAAAGAGAGAGAGAGGAGTCATGGCAGAGAGAAGAAATCTTGGATCTGTTAATGTCCATTCCAACTAAAGCTGCCATATGCCCGTGGGGATCTCTACAGCTATTTTCAGATATGCTTACATAATCACCTATGCTGGCTTGGCCATATCTTAAAAACCTGTCAGTTCACCCTGCCTGGGGCTGCATTCTTGAAGGTAGGGAGGCAGGCTGATATTTCCTAGTGAAGATATTTCCTAGTTCTCAGGTCGACCTTGAGGGCAAGAAGAGACAAATTGGAATTTAAACCTTTTTAGCATGAGTCTGTTTTTGATCCTTAGCAAAAATTACTCTCTTAAAAAAATAAAAAGGGTAGGAGAAAGAATAAAGAGGGCTTTTCCCACCCCATGTGCTTGGATAAATTTTTTTTCTTTTTTTTTTCCCCATAATTTTATTGAGAAACAAATAGCAATGAGACAGTTTCAAACCACATTGGTAGGACAGATTCAATAATTAACACATTGCATACATTCTTCCTAGTGGTTAATTGCTGTACAAGATGCAGACATAATATCCTATTTACAAACACTATTAGAACAAATCCCTCTATTCATTAAGAGAATGTAACTATATATCCTGACCATTTTGAATACACAGATACAAAATGGACATTCATCTGTATCCCCTTTTTTGTTTAGTTCCGTTATTTGAATATTATAGGTGTGTTAACTCAGCAAAATATTCTAAAAGAGTCCAGTAGTCCATAATAGTATTGGGTCTTCCGCTTCACTGGCGATGTCAGAAATTGTTGACCTGAGTCTCCTACAGTTCAACGTAACACCATGGCTTTACTTCTTATACTTCGTTTTTATACTTTCTGCTGGATGGTTAAGACCAAGGTAAAGCAGGACCTATGCAACAAGAGTGGTAGCTTTTGGGTCTGATAAAGTCAGTGAAATCTCCTCAGGATTTATCCCGAGATCCTGTACCTCAAGTTGTAGAACCTTTGTCACTGTCAGCCATGTGAATGAATCACGGCCATTGTTTGGCCAGTGTGCTCTCTGTGAAAGCCTGAGAGAATGTTTTCTCTCCATGTGACTCTCCTTAGGCACACTTTACATCATCGATCACTTTCCTCTTTGGCCCCGTAATCTCCTTGATCAGAAAATTTGGGACACTACCGAGTTATATGACATTACAGTACAAGTTCTCATATGTCCTGAGTCTTAATTGACCTTGGAAGACTAGGGTCAAAATGTTGACTTTCCTTGCAGCCCTCCTTTTTCTCTAATTTTGGTCTGCAAACTTAGGTTGTTAACCCTCCAGAAGAGAAGTTTATTGTTATTACCACATAACCTAGGCTGTTAAGCTTAACCTCACTATCTGTCTGAATATCAAATATCTTAGGCATAACATGGAACAGATATTTTTCATCAAGTATTGATATGTTGAACTTTAAGTCCCTGTAGAATATGATGAAAAACATTTAAAAATTAGAATATGTTTTTAAAAATAGGCATAAAGAATTATATAATTCTTATGTTTACACATAAGTCCAAAAATCTAACCATATACAACCTTGAAGCAGGACAGTTCCACAACATTGCTTTTCCTTTCTCTTGCCTTCATTCACCACCCCCTTCTTTTTGAACAATCATCTACCTGAGAGACAGCACAGCAGCAACTGGCATGTCATGACAAGCAGCCCGTATTCAGAAGACTAGAATGACGGGCACTCCAGTGCTTGGATAAATTAATGGAGCAATTTCCCCAAGGATCATCATTCCCCAAAGGTCAGATCAAGAGTGGGAACCTCATGAGCTAAAAATGCCTCCTCATCAGAGGATCAAACCAGAAAGAAAATTGAGACAGAATAGCCTCAACATTCCCTTTCATGAGTATAGAAAAGGGATCAGGCCAAACCGCCCCAGTAAAACGTGCCCTTTCCGACTTGAGAACAGTTGTCATGCTTGTCACCTTTACATGGTCAAAGAAGTCCTGTGTTTTTATATGAGTCATAGTCTCTAAATCTGCTCTATTGCAGGAAAATGACAGTAGAGACACAAGGCTATAGGACTATCCTGTAAAAACCAGCACAAATCTCTATCTTCATAATGAAATCACAGTTAACAAGAGCATGTTGCAAAAAGAGAAAAGAACAATAAAAACTTCCCTTTGGGGGCTTACCTCCTATTAATCTAATTTCCCAGATGGGCCCCCAAATATTACTTGTGTGTACTAGTTTTGGTTCCACAGACACCAAGGAATGAAGTTACAAACACCAAGGTATGCATTTGCAAACCAAAAGAGGAGATTAGGAGAATTTTTATTGGAAATAAGAAAAATAATTCCTGGATTTCCAGGAAGGGTCCTGGAATGGCCCCATTAATTCAAATTTAGCCCATTAATATTTGTTGGAGTGAGTCTAACTAAAAGAGCTGGAAGTCTGTTTCCTCAGGCCATAGGTATAAATATGCTGCAGTTGTTTTTCTGTATAACACAAAGAAAATTACTGGTAAAAAATACAACCACTTCCTGGCCTTCTGGCTAAGCTCAAGTGTAAAAAATACAAATGCAATTTAATCCTATAGTATATGTATTTATTTGAACCATTTAGTGTTCTCAGTATAAAAGGTTAAATATTAACCAATTAGATAATGGGATCCAGTCTTTAGGACTCCATAGCATGCTAATATCAATGCACAACAGTTCTTTAGTTAACTGGAAAATTTGGGTACTTTTATTTACTTTTACCAATGTCAGAGAAATGTATTCTATTTTTCTTAGGTTTCCTCTTACACGACCCAGTCTTTGTAAACAATGGGAAGCAGCTGTTAGAAGAAAAAACTTTAAGCCCACCAAGTACAGCAGCATTTGTTCGGAGCACTTTACTCCAGACTGCTTTAAGAGGGAGTGCAATAACAAGTTACTGAAAGAGAACGCTGTACCCACCATATTTCTTTGTACTGAGCCACATGACAAGGTAATATGTGTTTTTCAATGTTGTTTTCTGTGTATGAAATTAATACATTCATTGTAGAAAATTTAGAAAACTCAGCAAAAGGGTAAGAAAATGAGCTCCTGGAGCCCATCACTTGTAAATAATCACTTTTTTTTTTTTTTTTTTGCAGAACCACTGATTGAACTCAGGCCCTTGTGCTTGCCAGGCAAGCGCTTATTCTACTGAGCTATCTCCCCAGCCCTAAATAACCACTTTTAACAGTGATTTTTTTTTTCCTGGTACTGGGCATTGAACTGATCTACAACTGAGCTACACCCCAACCCAATTTATTTAGACATGGTCTTGTTGTGTTGCCCAGCCTAGCCGCAAACTTGTAATCTTCCTGCTTCAGTGGTCTAAGTAGCTGAGATTACAAGCATGTGCCACAGTGTCCAACCACAGTGATACATGTTTTGAAATACAAAGTATAGTTTATTGAACATTCTCACACTAAGAAATTCAGTTTATTTTTGTATTTTGTTTAAAGAACACTCTGTATTTCCACTTGTATGTTTACAACTTTTGCTTTTTCTTTTCTCAATGACAGTTTAATTTCTAATTTTTTTTTCTCCATTTTTAAGTGCTTAGTATTTAGTTAAATAACATTTAATGTTTTGATTGCATCTCCCTTCAACTTCAACTAGAAAATACAAACTATTTTCTTATTTTGAAATTTTCATAGTGTTTCTGATATGCCACAGGGTTCTTTCAAGTTGTTATATTTAGTTAATAAATTCACATATGCTCTGTATGACTGTTTTAGAAAGAAGATCTGGAGCCACAAGAACAGCTTCCTCCACCTCCTTCAACACCTCCAATTTCCCAGGTTGATGCTGCAATCGGATTACTCATGCCCCCTCTTCAGACCCCTGATAATCTCTCAGTTTTCTGTGACCACAACTATACTGTGGAGGATACAATGCACCAGAGGAAAAGGATTCATCAACTGGAACAGCAAGTTGAAAAGCTCAGGAAGAAACTCAAGACTGCTCAGCAGCGATGCAGAAGACAAGAGCGACAACTTGTAAAGTTAAAAGAGGTTGTGCACTTCCAGAAGGAGAAAGACGATGTATCAGAGAGAGGCTATGTGATTCTACCCAATGACATCTTTGAAATTGTTGAAGTACCAGCATAAAAGAGTAAAATGTGTAAATGCAAGCAAGACCGTATGTCCTCTTTTAACCTATACTGGAATTTTCATTTGAAAAGTAACACTTGATTACTTGCATAAAAACAATTCAGAATATTTTTTTAAAAAAAGTAAATTAGCTATATACTATAAATTGTAATTTTTTGTTTGTAATTTCAGAGTTTTTACATTTTAACAAAATATTTTAAAAGTTGTTGAAATAAGCCTCAGACTGCCAATGTAAATTGGTTTTAAGATTGGAGATGTTTTGAGTATTTATAGAAATAATTAAAAGTAAAAGTAGAATGAGAACAGTACAATACAGATGATTTGTTATAAAACTAATACTCTTTATTGAGAGAACTTAGAAGTATGGGTCAGATGAAAAGACATAGTCTCTTGATATGTATATGTGCACATACTCATATTTATCTTTCTGAGGATCACTTTTCAAGAATAAATTGGTAAGTCATTTGATAAAAGATTTGACTATCTCAGAAAAAAAATGATTCATTTCATATCTAATCAATATACAACTGTATAAAAGTAGATTTCTAAAAATAGCTCCTAAATTTTCCCCAGCATTAAAAAAAACAAATGTTTATCCTCAGTGAAAGAAATACTTTTTTAAATAAACAAAGTAAGCATTATCATTATTGAAGTGAAAATTGGTACCTGATCCATAAGGGTTTCTTTCTCATTCCTCTCCACTGAAGGCGCCTGAGTTTCTCAACTGTAATTATATGTGCATTCCTATTCCTAATAAATGTATTATGAATAGAGTTTGATTTGTATCATAATGTGGTAATTTTGCATTTGGCTGGTTGATTTTGGTTATAATTTCACATAAAAACTTATTTTTTCACTTATAACACAAGTTGGAAATAATATCTCATTTGCTTAAATGATTTATATTCAAAGCAATGTAATATGTAGTGTTGGTTTTATTGAATGTTGATACTTAAAACACTGCAGTTTCTGTTTAGAATGTATGTTATATTCTGACTTCATGAGAAATTTTACATATATTTGAAATTAAAATATGTTCTGAGTAAGATACTGCTATAGGAATTATCTATTTAGATTGAGTAACTTCCAACTATAATTATTTTCTATTTTGAACTACACTGGCCTAAGTTGAAGAGTAACAGACCTTTTAAGACAGTATTAAAGATATAAAATAATTATGTTCAGAACTGTCTTTTGTAGACCTGGTTTTTATTGCTGTTCACTGCCATGCTGCCATTAGATAGTGCTTTGATTCATAGATATTTAAATACTGTATGAAACAGTATCTCAAAAATAGGAAATAATGATTAGGTTATTTGCATAATCTGATAATATTATGTAGAACAAACTAATGAGTGAGAGCACTTCTGCTGGTTACTGTCAGAACTCAACTATTTTTAGAAGCTTCAAAATCTTGAAGTTGTTTTTATGTCTAATCTCTCCAGCAATCCCAGGAAAATATGTGAGTAAATATTTTGGAAAGTGTGTTTCTTTAGCCTAAATTGTCTTCTACATGAAAACAGTCATTCTATCCAGAGCCAAGAATCCAGGGTAGATAGTAAATGCAGTCATAATTCTGTAGCATCTTAATGTTATTATTTAACCTGAATCTATTTTGTTTTCATGACAGATTTAAATCTCCACTTGGAGAAAACTGAGCAAGCAGTATATATACCCAGTCATTTTCATTTGAATAAGTTAAATAAGTTTTCTGTAGTTTAACAAGGGAATTTGAGGTTCAAGTACTTATTTCTGAATTTGGGATGTAGCATTGGTTAGATTTTTTAGAACTTATCTTATGTATTATTGGTAACATTGCCAATAAAGTTGAGCACACAAGCTAAAATAGGTCATATTCAGGCTTGGCAAAGCTACAAGTAGGGACAGAGTCTCAACTTGGAACAAACAGGAAGAAGATGGCCATGAATTGCAGCATATTTTGAAAGTTGAAATATATTTTAAGCACAAGTGGTAAGAAGCTAAAATTTTCATTTCTGTGTGACATAATCTGGGAGTAATGGCAAAACCTAATTTTTTCTTAATAACAGAACTACTAGGAAAACTGTGCAATTGTAGGATCCTAGAATTGGAAGGGGTTTATTGGTGTTTGGATGCTAGTCAAACCCCCACATCCTATAGAACACCCTTCAAGAACATCCTTGAAAGTGGTCATCCATTGTGTTATTTCTATTTAAGCAAATATCCCACTTAGGGTCTTTGAAATGGCTTTGTAAGTTAGACTAGAGTCAGTTACCATTCCTTTCAT